TTCTACACATTTATTTAGACCACAAAACATAAATAATTGTTGCTAAAAAAAATATATTAGAATATGGTTTAATTTTATATAAATTATGTTTTTGACTAAAGCATTGATGAATATAGTGAAATTAAGGAAAATCAAGAGAAAAGGACCAAAATGGAAGAAAGCCAAAGTTTAGGTATCAAAGTGCATTAGTCGAAAGATGACATGAAAGAAGAGAAAGTGCGAAAGAGTTGAAAATCAATAGATCGAAGGAATGAAGTGTTGGAAGAGGAAAAAATGGGAAAGAGATCAGGAAATGAGAAAATGGAGTTCAGAGAATGAAAGACAACTATTGGATTTTATTTAAACTATGTTGACACATAGTTTACTACACCATGTGGTCGCATGTTCATTTTTAGAGAATACCTGGGCTAAATTTGATAGAAATATACTATAGCACGCGTTTGTACTATGCTATAGCATAGTATATCTTTCAAGCAGAAAAATTCTGGTTTCTTTATATGACTTTAGCTCTTATGGAAACATAATTTAAGACATCTTTTAAAGACGTAGGCCATCAATAAGTAGTTGACCACACATTATATCACATTCAAAGAGATTTTAGGAGGAGAGGAGGCAAGAAACATGAAGATCGATTCCAAGACTTGAAAATTCAATTCAAGATTTAATTGGGTGATGTCAATTCTACCTCATTGGTAAGTGCTACAAGATCTTGTTCATTGTTTATATATATATATATTTTATCTTCCCCACATACTAGGCTAAATTTTTTATGTTAAGAGAATGATGAATCATGTAATATGAGTTTTAAATCTTATTCTACATATTTGACATTGAAAACTTATTTTTGGATGTCGAATGATATATATGATTATCTTTTCTGCACAATTATTGTGTATAGTAATTGTGTGAACGTAGTAGCTTATTTTATGCATTCGCAAGAAAGGAAATAGGCTCCACATAGTATACCGCTTTGCCTTGCATGAATTTTTAATTGTTCATAAAAATTCACACACTCTTGTATGTTCACATCCATCATAGAAATATCGTCGTGTCATTTATTAGAGTTGGTTTAACATTACTTGTTAGATATTGTTGAATAAAACAGGAACATTGATTCTTTAAAATTCAACCATGTCAAACTGTAGAACTAATATAAAACAAATTATTACATGGAAATTCAGAATCCTAGTGTGTTTGTCATTCATTATAACACATCAATTTGTATTAAGCATAATTTGCATTTAGTTTAATTAATTCGCTCATAATTACATACATAGTTTATTTTAGATATAATTTTATCATCGAACTAAATCAATCTTTGTAGAGATGATACTTGGACTCGCATCCACTTTATTATTTGTTAATGAACTCTGCACTTGCGGTATTTCAAAACAAAACATTATCTTCATGAACAAATTTTTGGCACACCATTACCATGGATTGAATTTTAGTTTGACGATATATACCTTGAAAATAATTGAAACATTGTTTTTATTTTATTTTATTTTATTTTTTTTAGTTTTTTCTATTTTAGTTTATATGAGTGCTACTATTGTTCTTCTTTCAGGCCTTTTCACGCGAAGGCCGCTTGGCATTAAATTGATTTTAGCTGATCCAAAAATCGAATGCACCTTTCATCATGGGAAAGAGAAACAAGAGCAATACAATAAAAAGATCAAAAAGACCAAAAACAGTAATTAAAATCCAGTAGTTCAAGTTAACATAGAAAAAGTTGTTGATGAGGAAAACCAATGTTTTGGAAACCGGACCGATCATCGACCCGGAAAAGAAAAAGGGTCAAACGATAGAATCGGGGTCGAACTAGATAGTGAAAAAGTAAAGATAAATAAATATTTTCAAACACTAAATAAGATTATATAATAATACAATACTGCTAATTAATGTTAGAAGAAATATTAATTTTTTTATTAATTAAGCAAACATAGGAAAATGATTAATTAACCTAATGAAATAATTAACTATAAAATATAAATATTGATAAGGGTATTTTATACATTTATTCAAAACTTTAAAATGATGACATTTGGTTGCTTTTTGAATAAATTATGGTCTAAATTATTGTATTTGGTGTTAAATAGGTAAAATTCAATGACAGTACAAGAAATTGAAGGAAATAAGGAAAAGTCTACAAAATTGGAGAAAATCACTAAATCCTAAGAGATCCAAAGTTCGTGGACTAAAGTGCAAATACTCAAAAGTTGTGTCAGACCTCACTATGAAGATTCAAAAGTTCTCCAAGTCAATTGAATAAAGAAAGACATTGAAGAGATGAAATATAATCAAATTATGATAACACATCAAGTTCCATCTGAAGAAATGTATGCATCGTTTTTAGACTCATATTGAGACCCACTTTTGACATAGCAAATGATCGAATTTAAAAATGGTATCTGAAGCAAAGGTGTAGCCCTTAGAGTTAGCTTTCCAAAGAATCTTGAATCGCCTCGATCAGATATTGGAAAAAAAAGTTATTATTAAAAGACGGAAAGTTGTGCAGTGCGATCGAATGGACGACAACGCCCGAGCGCTATCCCCAAAAGTCAGCGCTTAGACGCTACAATCATAGCGCCCAGGCCCTACCATCAACGATTAGGCGCTGCATGCGTAGCACTTAGGCACTACTTGAATTTGTTCGAGGCATTGACTCCTAGCACTTAGGTGCTGCGCCGGGATTGTCTATGACGCGTTTTTGAGTCTTTTTGAAATCCATAAAAACCCTACTTTCTACACAAACGAAGGAAGTACCTATAAATACATCTTTCTCACACTCTTGGAGAATTCTTCACACATTGAGAGGCAAAATAACATAATTGGAGAATCAAAAGAGAAATTCAATGGAGGAAAACACCAAGCAATTGAAGATTTAAAGCATTGATTGGAAGAAGAAGGAGATCTTGGTGTAAGAATTTTACTTTTTCTACTACGTTTTTACTACCAATCCAATGATGAATTTCTTGATAATTTCTTATTTTTTTCTCATTCATATATGTAGCTAAATTTAATTTTAGGGTGAACAATGTAATCTATTTGGGATCTTTATTTCTTTTATTTGAGATCCTTGTTCTTTATAATTACATGTGTAGATTTTAATCATATTCTCAATGCTTTGAATTTTCTAGCCAATTATACAATGATTTCGTAAACAATAATTATGTAGAGATGCGAATTCTTGTTTAGACCACATATTAAAATTCGGTAAATTAATATAACGTGTAGAGATGCCTATATTAATTACTACTGTCCTATAAGAATTTTTAGAATTATTATTTCGTTTAAATAATGTTGATTCATATAAAGATATGAAATTAAATTATTTAAATCGACTCAATGAGAACTCGAGAAGGATAAATTGAATACCGTAGAAAAATTCAACCGAACACTACTTTAGATTTTATGATTCTCGATATTAGAAGTAAAGATAACCAATAGATGAAGTTGTTGTACCCTAATACCTATTAATTATTTGAATTCTCACTCATTTTCTGTTGCAATCACAAACTTTTAAGTAATTAGAATAAAAACTACTTTTTATCATTGTTATCATTTATTTTCATAACAATAATCCGAACTCAAAATATCTACTTTACTACTTGTAACGATCAGTCCACTTGCTGGATAAAATTAACAACAAATATACATACTAGTGCTAATTTGTCATACACAATAACACAAAGGTATTTATCCCAAATCAGAGTTTTGGAAGTTAAACACCAAAAAGTAAGCCTATAAATAAGTGGCCTATTGCAGCAGCAAAATTGTATAAATAAATGGGCGACCAAAGGAATCGTAGTTTATTAGTTTTCATTGGTCCAACTTTTGTTATGCCTGATAATTATTGGGAAAGTAGAACTGGGGCTTGTCTGAAGTTAAATCAATGCAGTCAAAAGTTTGTGAAAATGGTAAAACCAGGACCGGTTCATTGTTGAATCGGCCAATTTTATTAATATTTTACGGGCTTCCTTTCTCTTGTTAATATAACATGATCAGACCGAATTTGAGGCCGGTTCCCGATTTTTTGGGTTGAACCGATTGGCCCAATCAAATTTTCAAAACATTGAGGAAAACATACCTGCTAGGGATTTCATTTCATGACCCCCACAGATCATTTAGACTCATTCCAGGATTTTCTATCCTCTGTTTGGATAGCCTAATTTTCAGCTAAAAAGCAATGTTATACATCTATTCCAAAATAGATATTAGTTTTATGGTGGAGCTAAAGAAAATCCACATACACACGTCTATCTATTCTTGAAAGTGTGACAACATTTTCTATATCAAGGTATTTCAGATTATTAACCAATTGCCAGTATCATTACGTGGAATGACCTAGCTCAAAAGTTCTGTACAAAGTTCTTCCCATCCACCAAGATTGCAAAGTTAAAGCACGAAACATCCATCTTCCATTACGGTGATGCGGATTCTTTTGATGAATATTAAGTAACTTAGAACTAATCAATTTTTATATGCTGAAATACTATTCTATTGTTTTTATTTATTAATTCAAATGCCAAATGCACTGTAATACAAATAAATATTAAAGAAAATTAATTTTTCCTATTTTAACCATACATTTTCAAAAAAGAAAAAAATTTCACAAAATCACTACTCAAAAAATCAAAATCAAGCAATGCCAAATTACCCTTGAAAGATCATGCAATTCTCATGTCTTACTTTTTTTTATGGGTACCAGACTCTTAATTCTATTTAAAAATAAAAAAGAAAAAAAGGAAATGCAATTAGAAAAAGTTTCAGAAGGTGAGAGAATCATGTGAATGGCATAATAAAGTGTGGACACGTAAGACCTAAGTGTCTCAAGTAAGATAATAACTGGACTAAAAGAGTACATGTGGATACATATGGACATGCTATTTGACTAAAGAAACCAGTGAAAAATCAATAGCAACAGAACATAGTTGGTATGATTATCACTATCCCACATATTAAAATAAAAATTGAAAAGAAAAGGAAAGAATAGAATAGAGAGAGTATACTATTGGATCTCTATTAAAAATATTCATTATTTGTCTATTCTTAAACACATGTAACATAATAAATCAAGTATATTACAAGTTTTAATTCCACCATCATATTTTCGATTGACAACTAATACAAAGCTATTAGCGTAACTCAATTAGATATTCTAGTATACAATATCTCTGAGATCTTTTGCTCTATTTTGATATATATATCCTTCAACAACCCTTATTAATATCAATTTTTTCAATTTTAAGAATATCAATGTACTTTTTCTACTAAATTAAAATATTACCATTTCGGCTATTCTCAAGCACAAATCGAGCAATATATTATGCAATAGTTCCATTAGATAATCTAGTGTGCAACTTTCTCTATGCTCTTTTACTTGACGTTCTCTACAAACCCTTCGGCAATCCATAGCAATATTAATTTCCATGGACTCAAGAAAGTCAATACACATTTCCTACAAAAAATAAATAAATAAAAATCATAATCAATTTTTTGAATATATAACCCCTGTTTGTCAGCCTTTAAAAATTTAAAGTATTTGCTACAGAATCATTCGTCACCACAAAACAATAAAATATTGTATATATAAAACAATAATGTTTTCTTACTTTTTAACCACACATTTTTCGAAAAATACTTATTCAATAACTCATTATTCCAAAATAAATTCTATCAAAGGCCAATAATGCGATTAAGATTTAATTTTTATTACAATAATGAGTCAAGACTTGTTCTCAACAAAATCTTTGAGTGTATGATCGAACACCTCAAACAATGTGGAATCACGCTCCAATTTGTGCAAATATGAACCGCACAAAACAACATTACCAAATCAACAACTTTTGCCCCCAAAGGAAATCCTTCCCATAAAGTAATTATAGGTTAAATCTAAACGAAGAAATTTTTGGATTTATAATCTATATATTTGTTTATAACTAAAACACAGCTCATTTCTAGAAATAAGAGGTAACTAGTCATTACCAATGTATTAAACATTAAAATAATGCAATGATTTTACAAAAACAATTAATATCATATTCAGGAATTCTAGCAATGACATTTGCCAGAACCCATTTTAAAAAGAATAACAAATAAATAGTTCTACTAGTTCATTAAAAGAATTTTCTAAATTTGTATGCATAAGACCCATACCTTGTAAGTAGAGTAATCAAGAAGTAACTTTTCCTATGCCTCCCATGCCAAGATCACGATTTCTTCCAGCCATATCATTTTTTGCAACTCCAACTTTCATAACAGTTTCCAAGTGGAGCACCAGGTGATTTATTTCTACCCAAGACTTCCCTTCCAAAATTAGTAAATTGCCAAGCCTCTTGAAAACGAAGAACTCCAGCACCATTTTCTTCTGGCAAAGACAAAAAAAAAAAAAAAAAAAAAAAGGGAAAAAA